GTGACTTTGGATGTATAATGTACTAAAGATTTTCAACATGGCCATTTCTGTCAGTTGTAATGCCATTATTCATGCGGAATGCTGAAACTGCAAATAAATGGGGAAATCTTCCTAGAAATAGGACTTAAAAGAGAGTCTCATTTCTTGAGTATGGGTGTGTGAGTGTGTGTGTGTGTGTGTGCATACCTGAGGGAAAGTAGGGGAAGATTCCCCCTTTGCTGGCAGTTGGAGTGAAATTTGGTAATACTGCTGGCACAGATTTTATTATTGAAGCCTTAACTGAGCTTATGTTAACTCAATTGAGATGTCTATAATTTTCTTTTCTAGCACTTATTAATTGCTAATAAAAGTATTAACAAAGGAAAATCAGTCCTTTTCAAAATACAAATCACTTTGACAATCTCATACAACTAACGAATAATTGGGAGGATCAATAGTAAGTATAGAATCAGCCAATGCATAATTGATGAGCACTTCCTAGGTCTTCTGCCGTGTTTGCTGAAGACAGTATAAGGGAAATACAACTGACATTTGGCCACTGAATTTGAGAATTTTTCTCAATTTTATATTTTATCCTACATATTTTATTCAAGCCACTGGCGTTAACTACCACTGTTATATTAATAAGATGACAGACATATAAACCTGAAGCAAATACATGCTGAGAAAAACTCTAAAACTGCTGATCACTTAATTTTACAGCTTATTTTTTAAGGAAATATACTTCTGGTTAAAATACTATATTTTACACAGAAACAATCATATTTTCTTCCAATAAAAACATTCCTAGTTTTTAAGATCAGTTTATCAATATTTTATGGTGTTCCTCTCACCAGGTGACCATCATATGAAACAAGTTGGAAAATAACCAAATGTAGAAACAGATGTTAAATGGGATGAGCAAGCAACTTTATTAATTTTTTGCCTACTTATACCTGACGTTCCAAAGATACTAAAAGGCTGCAAATGTTACAAAGAAATATGCAGGTAATGAAGCCCATCAATGAGAGCAACATAGTCTGAAGCTGTTTTCTTGACGCATGTGGTATTTGAAAAAGCCTGCAGGTATAAATCAAAACTGGAAAAAATGTTTGAGAAATGCAAAGTTACCCAAAGATTATTTTTATGATATTTATGAGTAGTGTAGATTGTTACAGACACTTTGTTAAAACCTTATTTTTTTTCCTATTACTTGAGTTCACAGCTATAATATTTTGGGGTATTCTTTTTCCTGTGTACTTTTTAAAAATTGTGAACAAGAGTCTACCTAATTTAGTATCCTGATTTTTTAAATTATGTTGGAAACTTAAGCTTTTTCCCTACGTGTTATTAAAAAGCCCTGGATATGGTATCTGGACACCATTGTAAAGACATATTACTCTATACTACATTTAGGTTAAAGTCTCTAATTTATTTTTATAATAAATCAGAGATGAACAGAGTAAATGAAGCTTTTGTTTCCCTCTCTCTCTTCTGTTCTTTGTGGCACCTGGATCTGGCTGTGTCCTCACAATCAGCATACGGTTTGAGAAGGAATGACCTTCTCAAGCATTAAGGGAGCCACACAGCTCCTCATGGAATTTGACTTAGGGGCAGACAACCACTTAACAAGACAATATGTTCCCCTGTAACTTGTCATTCAGAAACTTCATTTTCAGAGGTAGAGTTACTATTTGTGGCAACAGAATGTCTTCCAATGTATCAAACATAGCCACAGTACAAAATTTTGGTTGGCATCATTAAACACCACAGTGAATGTGATTGAAGAAAGGAGCCTGACCTCTTCAGGGAATAGAAATGGATAAGGGAGGAGGGGGTTGTAACCTTTTAAAGCCAGGATAGAATTCATATCCACAGAAAAATTGATGAAACAAGGACAGACATATAAAAGTAAATGTACTGTAATTCAGCTACGTACATTTCATGATTGTTTATTTTGTTCAGATATTCTAAATCCAGTGATGAAATGGCATACTGTAGATTAGGAAAGATGCTGAATTACCAAAAGTTAATATCTGAAAACCTGAAGATCTCATTACTCAATTTATTGAGTGTTCTATGTAGTGTCCGTTCATAAAGCTTGAACTCAAGGATGGAGATTAAAAAAAAAAAAAAAAAACGGCAATCACTGAAAACTTGAAACCAAGGAAAAGTGTCTACTAGCTATCAAAAGAAACATTCTTTAATATGCACAAAAATTATCTGCTGCAAGACTTGAAGAGAAGATATGGTTAAAGCAAACATGTATTTCTCATTCATGCATTAAGGACCACTGTCTCTACAGCATGGGAGGGGGAGGGAGAGGGGTCAAAACGGGAGGGAAGAGCACAGAGAATATATGGTGATGGTGCACAGGTGACTTGGTGGTGGGAAACTTATGGGGACTAAACTGAGAAGATAAATCGAACATTGTACAAAAATGAACAATGATGTAAATACACACACACACACATACATATAAATATAGTTATTTTTAAAAAAGGAGGGCCCTTTGCTCTGGAAACAAAGCAACAACATAGTAAATAAGCAGAAAGATCTGAGGTACAAACCAAATGTATACCTAGGAAAGAGCCCCCAGCAGAACCTAAAATACCTTACTTAATCTGAACTTCAGCAAGGTTAATTTCCCTCCTAGCAACAAAATGGGTTTAACCCAGAGCATTGTGAAATGCGCTGAAAGTCATTCCACAAACTGGTACATATGAAAGCAGAGGCAAGAACTAAAAACAGAGGAGCAGTTACTATAAAAATTGAAACCAGGCCCTCCCTGGTGGGGCAATGGGTTAGGATGCAGCACTGCAAGCTAGCTCAGCGGCTTCAGTGTAAGTTCGATCCCCCACCCCAGAGTTGATCCACATGGCCTGCAGACCTCTCCTGCCCACCCACTGCTCCCCTCAGCAGTGTACTTAGTTGATCTGGCTGTTCTGTGCCCCACTCTGTCTCTGGTGAAGACTCTCACTGCTCCTGCACCTCTGGCTTGTATACCAGTTTTGTATGCATAAATAAATAAATCTTTAAAAAATATGTATTTTTTTAAAAAAATTGAAACCATGAGCATTCCCTACATAGCCTGAGCAGGTGGTGCCATGGCCTGGCTCTCCACAGTGACCTCACTGATCTTTCAGTAACTGCAATGTGATCACTATCAACTGCTCTGAACTCTCACAACTTTGCAGTGACGTTCCAAGGCTTATAAAATAAAAGCTTTATTTTAAATGTCTCACAGGTCCTGCAGGTTGTCTGCTGCCAGCCAGTCCAGCCCTCCCTCACACTGCTCTCATCTTTGGGCACCTTTCTCTCTACCTGGAATTGTCTCATTGCTGCCTCTCCTGGGAAACCTAGAAGGTCATTTCCTTGGAGAACTTGACTGAATCAAGAAGTCTAGATTAGTTTTCCCTGTGACCTCCTAGCTACTTTGCAGTTGAGAATCCATCATAATTGCACTTAATTATTAATCTGGTTGTTTCCTCCATGGTTCTGAGCTCTGGGAAATAAGGACCATGTCTGGTATAAATACTGAGTAATTATTTACAAGGGATGTAGCATGTCACTGGATATGGCATGCTACATCTTCCTGGCTATACAGTATTTCAAATTTACTTTTTTTGGGGGGGGGGAAGGTATTTTCTTTATTAAAGCAAAATGAAAAGATGCATGATGAAGTAGAATGACAAATTCATATTATTTTAAAGCACACGACTTCCAGGATGCTTCAGATTACGCCCCCAGATTTTCTGGAGGCATTGTGCTTAAAATAATACAGAAACACGGTGTGGTAAAGGATCCATTTCTCAAGGGATCTAGATAATTAAGGATTGTCTTCATTTTACTAGATGAGAATATATATGAGAAGGATTTTGCAAACTATAAGGATTTGTGCAAATATAACTTATTATTACTGAGAAACATGTCCCAAAGGGGGGGGGGATCGTTTTGGTTCAAATGACACCGCCAGTTACAGATGAAGCAGACGCCAGACCCAGGTCTCCAGAGGCCTGTCCAGCCCATTGCTTTTCATTAGTGCACACCATCAGCCACCTGGTCCCTGTTGCAAAGGGTCGCCTCGCTCTCTCCCTCCTTCGCTCCTAACCTCATCTGGGGCTGATGCCTCAAGCCGGGCTCATATACACTTTAAGTTCCGACCAACCAGAATTGAGGAGCGAGTAGACAAATCAAGCCCAGCACTTCCCGGTGCGGGCATCCGGAGGCGTTCGGCTTTTCCCAAAGGATCGGGCAGTTCCTCCCTAAGGCAGCAAACGCGGTCAGCTCCGCTCCAGCTCCAGCCCAATACTCGCCCCCTAGCGGCCCACACGCAAAGTGCAGCGCGTTCCAGAGACGCCGTCAATCTATTTTTCTGAGGGGGCTCGCGGGGCCGCCAGGCCAAGAAGTGCGGCAGTATTCAAGGGCCGGGAAAGCGGGAAAGCTCTGAAGTAACTAAGGAAAAAGAACACACTACAGGAGCCGTGGCGGTCCATCCGCGCGGCCTATTCCTGCAAGCAGAGCTTGTGGCTACAGCTGCCCCTTAGGAAACGAGGGACCCCTCAGGGTCCCGCCGATGAGGGTGGAGGTCCCCGTCTGTACCCTTGCGATACATATAGCATCCCCCACTCCGTGAGCCGGCCAGGAGCCGGCGAAAGGGCTGGGAATTCAAGAGAGGAATGCTCACGCCGAGACCCGCTCAGCGGAGCCGGGGTGTGGAGGGCGGCTACCGGCTCTCGCGCGCAGCCCGCCCACCCGCGCTGGGGCTGGCGCGCTTCA